GTTTATGCCGTCCTCAATTGATGAGTATTTTCGCAGTGTTTCGAAAACTCCTCAAGATGGGCGCTTTATGTGGTAAATGAATGGCCACTATTCACTTGCGACAGAGTTGCGCTGATGGTGATGCAGTGGGTCTCTCTTTACTGGCACGACAATCGTTTGACGAGATCGTGTACATAGGCCCATGCCATGACGCCCCACTTTGGAGCTGGAGCTAGTCAAGCAATTGAGGTATGCATGTTCATTCAACAAACTGTGAAAATTCTTCTCTTTGTATCAAGGATGCCTTTGTGCTTGGTCGTCTTCTTGCCCACCCACTCACAACATTGGATAACGTGCTCACTGCGCTGAAAGCATACCAGGATGTCCGCCACTCGTTCACTCAATTCGTAGCATGTCATCAGTAAACCGGTGAGTTCTTGCTGGGGATTATGCTGATTATGGTGCTTTTACATAGTCATATATTGCTTTATATCACTTTATATTCCAATGTGACGAAAACCTTTCCTATATATTACGATATATAACGATATATGACGATATCTTCTTCTCACAGGTTCTCTGATGGTCAATCGGAACGTAGTACAAGGCAATGAACGGGAAGAGATGGAGATTCTGAAAGAGAAGATCGTAGACCTGTTGGAAAGCTGGGTAAATGAAGGTGATGGTGGTGCTGTTGCTGAATGGGTTCGATTTGAGAACAGTGCATTGTGTCATGGTTTCACATGAGTCGTAGCGGCGCAAGCGCCAGTCCCTGACTCCAAGGGATTACAAGCAGTTGATATATGGCAGAATCATTCACCTGCGTCAGCGCATTGTGTTTTTATCCTAGACAGGCCGACGGAGTGAGACAAGTCACCATGTCAACCTACTAGATGTCCACGGGAGTCCGTGTGTCTTAAGAGTCCACGCATTGACTGTAGCACACGCAATTCTGCACGGAATCCTTATCCATGATAGATCTAGATTCCCCCAAACATAATACACACTGCTATATATTTTATTTGAAGAAAATTGAAGTAGATCTCGTCCTATGGGCAACTTATCAGTGCTGGAGGCTAATTTTGTGCATATAAGGCTCGCTCTAAAGGTCAGATCACCACATAAAATTCTGGAATATGGGACAATGGTCATACACGATGAGAGAATACTAAAACAAATTTCTCCGGGGCCATATGCTTGTCAGGATCATCTGTAATAAAAGAAATATGCCCCAGACGTGACAGTCTACCCAAAGCGTTACTGTAAATCGAAACTCCGCAAACAAGTACACAGCGCACAACACACTGTTCAAACGGGCGGAGTGTGAAAAGGCATTGCGGCAGACGTGTGACATGATGTGACACAGTGGGCGAACATATAGTACAGTCAGCAAACTATAAGCTTAATTAAGCACCCTCGAGCTACTGCCGGCAATTGCCACGCAGCCACTGGCGGAATGGCAGCATTAACTGCCAACAACACTAATCCGAATTCACAGTGAATTTCTTTCAAGGTTAACCATTATTGATATTCATACATTCCAAAAGGGTCTCAATGGACTGCAGATGCCGCAACGGCCATCATCAAGAAGGACCACGGCCAACGTGTTCTGCCTGAGAGCATCATGATAATGAAGGAATTTGATGATTTCATGTCCTCCCACAATTCGTTCTGATAAGGAAGCTCGATATAACTGCCCACGGCATTCACGGCAAAGCTCACTTCTTCGGTGTCGACAGTCACATAAAATGGAGCAAATTACGTGGCCCGGGCCTCGCTGTGCTACTCAGATTCAGCTGAGGTATCCTCAATGTCGCTCTCATCAGACCCTCCCAAGTTTCGAGTAGCAATCTGGTGAGCTGGATAACCTCTCACAGACAGGACGCAGATTGAACTTCCTATGCAGTGGTGCAGGCATAGCAGGGCTTTTTCTCGCTATCACGATTGGCCAGTTTGCAGGGCGCGATATCCACATAGACTTATACGAAGCCCGTGATGCCATTACAACTGCTGGCGCTGGGGTTGGAATCTCGCGACGCGCGGCGGAGGTCATGGTGGAACTCGGCTTGTATGAAAAGATCTCTCAGATTTCAGCATCGCCCCCTTCTTCCAGCTATGGTCTGTTTCGAGAAACTGTGCTACAACTGCATTTAACTTGATTCGTTTCGACAGGTCGGAGAATGAGGAAGTCCGATGCCCCAAATGGTGGTTTCGAATGGTTTCATTATATCTCCAAAACACGTCTGTGAACTTCATCATTTTGAACTGGGGGCAGAAAAGTGACAAAGCCTCTCACAGTTAAACAGGGATTCAATATGCATCGGCAGGAACTCGTCGACATTCTCAAGCAGAGCATCCCATCGTCATGCACTATGCACTTTAATAAACGGCTCACCAAATATGAAAAGCAGTCATCAGGATCACTCGCCCTCTATTTCGCTGATGACAGCACCTCGATCACCGACATATTAGTAGGGGCAGACGGCATCCACTCTCCAGTGCGGAAGACACTTTTCGAAACAATTGGCCCAGACATCATAGACCCAAGCAAGATAAGGCACTACAGTGATCCATCTTGGACCGGAACGCTTGTCTATCGCAGCATCTTTCCAGCGGAGAAGCTTTTGAAATTGGATCCAAATAACGTAGCTGTGAAGGATTTCGTAATGGTAAGTCCTCAGAAAGCGGTCACGATTGTCAGGAATGACTTTCATTTTGCAGTTTTGTGGGAGGGAAAAGGTGATTTATCACAATCGACTAGTCCCTATTTGCTGATGAATATTTCAAAGCACATCGTATCGTATCCTGTTTCGCGAGGAACACTGATCAATGTCGTAGCATATGTTCCTGATGAACAGAAAACTGGCATACCTTTTGAGGGCCATTGGGTTTCGGCTGTGTCCCAAGAAGAGGTTATGAAAGCATATCAGGACTTTGAGCCTAATGCTAAGCGCGTTCTGGATGTAATTTTTTGGCTTTGAGTCGTTTATGCTGTCCTCGACTGATGAGTATTCTTCGCAGTGTTTCGAAAATCCCTCAAGATGGGCGCTTCACGTGCTAAATGATTTGCCGTTATTCACTTGGGACAGAGTTGCGTTAATAGGTGATGCAGTGGGTCTCTTCTTGCTGGCACCACAATCATTTGACGAGACCGTGTACATAGGCCCATGCCATGACATCCCACCTTGCCGCTGGAGCTGGTCAAGCAATTGAGGTATGCATATTCATTCAACGAACCGTGAAAATTCTTCACTTTGTATCAAGGATGCTTTTGTACTTGGTCGCCTTCTTGCCCACCCACTCACAACATTGGATAACGTGCCCACTGCGCTGAAAGCATACCAGGACGTCCGCCTCTCATTCACTCAATTCGTAGCACGTCAATCGGAACGTACTCCAAGACTGATGTATGATTTTTGCGCACTTGGAGGCAATGAACAAGAGGAGATGGAGGTTCTGAAAGAGAAGATCGTAGACCTGTTGGAAAGCTGGGTAAGTGAAGGTGAAGGTGGTGCTGTTGCTGAATGGGTGAAAGCAGAAAGGCAACTGCAGGAGGGTTCGTACAGTGGATGGTGTGAGAACAGTGCAACGTGATCACTATATTCTACATCGTATTGGTGCTGGGAAGCGCCAGTCCCCGACGCCAAGAAATGATGATGGATTAGCAACAAACAATATATTGCAGGCTTTACAGCCGTTCTCTAGATCTCTCGTCCTCCGAGGCATGAATCTCGCAGAGGTTGCGCAGAGGATTATCAAGTTTTCTTCTCAAGTCATTTGACAAGTTCGCTTGAAGCGCTCGACAGTCTCGCAACCCTGAACCTATGATTGCAGGTTCCAGCGCACGGGATCTCCTACACCCTCAGACAAGCCAGGTATATGCAATTCTTGATACGTTCCGTGTGTGATCCGATCTAAATAGTAACAGCCGCAGGATCTTCCACCACCCACTATCACTCCCGGACCAAATCCTGACCAGGCCGTCTTCCGATGTGGGCGTTGCGAACACAAGTTCGACTATTACAGTTCGTAACGTTCTCTTTCAATCATCCTATCATCAGTCCAAACAGCCTGATTCGAAGGTTGTTAAGAAAAAACTCGCAAATGCCAAAACAGATCTCGACGGAATCAGGGGCGATAGATGATACTCAATCAGGCGAACCGGGATGATGCTGTGTCCCGTCTGCTCTCGAAGGTCTCGGAAGTCTATGCTTTATTAGTAATGGGACATGAAGGATTGGTTAGGATTGCATCCGTGCTAGAGATATATGGAATGATTGCGCGACAAACGCTGGAGTGTGCCGACTTCGTCAGCAATGAAAGTCCCTCTCTATGTCTAGGGACAACGTCCTCTAGGACTCCTCCTCGTGCTGGTCCAGGGTATGCGCTGTCATGCTGTAGCGCCATACAGCTTCGACGGAGAAACCGGGTACCTTTCGCGTGGCCTTCCCAGGTTGAGGGTGACAAGATTCGCATTTAAGGGGTAAGTTGCGAGAGGGCTTAGTATTCTTTGATCCCGAATCAACAGATCCGTACCTGAATGTGTGCTTGTACATGCACTTCGTTTCCCAGGTAGGTGCTCCGCTGCTTGGTAGTAGTACCGTGATCGTGATGGCGCACTCAGGCACTCCAGGACGATCACCACAGAAACCACACGGACTCGTACCGACCTATATAGATACCCGAATGCCCATTCACTCAATTCATAGCACGTGGATCGGAACGTATGGGACATATGCTCCAGTTTTGCCTGCCTAGGTACTATGATTGGACAGACAGAGGAAAGACGCGAGAGGATATGGAGATTCTGAAAGATTGGACCAGTTGGATTGGAAAAGTGAAGGTGGTGCCGTGCCGTTGCTGAATGGGTTCAGGCAGAAAGTCAACTGCGGGAAGATTTATGCCAATGGCGCATGAATTCACTATTCTTCCTTGTAGACTTGGTTTTTCTTGCGTTACACAATAAACGTACGTGCATGACTTCAGAGAACATACAGCAAATCTAGATAAAACTTGCACTCAGGCCGTTGAATACCTCGATAAGAATTTTCGGGTGATGCTCCCGTAGTCAGACCTTGATATAGAAGGTCTGGAGAATTGGTGTTTATGTAACCTTGTACCAAAGTCAACGCGTGGTACGTTGCAAGTATTCGTTTGGCAGGTTAACGTTTACACTTGCTTTCTCTGCAAGTTCTTTGGCAACTCCTTCACCCATGGTAGGAAATCCCGTCCCTGCATATATGGCCTGAGTACCTCGGGTATAACGAGACCCTGAGGGTAAATGCAGTATTAGTGTCAATCCCTTGCGTCGCAAAAAGAAAGAACATACATCTGGTGTCTGATAGTTCTCGACCAAACAGCACAATGCGCGTTCCGTGGCGCACATTGTTCCGTTCAGCATGTGGACGTAGACTTTCCGCTGTTGGTCCTTCGCTTTGAGACCGCAACGAACTTCCAGCCGCCTGCTCTCTGTAGTGTCGCTGAGTCCACATCATCAAGAAGTTTACGGGCGACAATCCAACTTACGATAATCCGTACAATTCGAGCAAGAAACAAGTTCTTTGTATGCACCTTGGAATGGGAACCACGCCTCCAGATCGCATTTTTTCGACGCTGCGAGGTTCAGTGCACCACTGACGATCGCCACCACACGGTAAGAGAGACCCAAGCTCTGATAGAACCCTTCGCTGTTCTCCAGCATGGTATCGAATGCATTCCAGCTCTCTTCCGGAGCGGTGATCACGAACTGCTCAACCTTCTCAAACTGGTGCACACGGAAGATGCCCCACATATCACGTCCAGCTGAGCCGGCTTCTTTACGGAAACATGTCGAGTATCCAGCGTAGTATATGGGAAGCTGAGCTTTGGGGTCTTCGAACCATTCGTCTTGATGGAATGCCGATATAGGCTGCTCCGAGGTCGCGATGAGATATTTCTCGTCGTCATTGGCGATAACCTGTATGACGATATAGATTAGTTTTAAATTGTGCTATCCACCAACTGTGTCATGCCTTGTATAGTTCCTCGTCGAACTGGTCAAGCTGCGCGGTCTTTGCCATGACGTCTTTATTGACAAGGAATGGTGGTTGGACTTTCTTGTATCCCTTTCTGCGAAGGAAGTCGAGAGCATATGTGATAAGGGCTTGGTTGAGATCGACACCATCATTTATGAGGAAGTAGCCGCGGTGACCTGCGACCTTGGCACCTGGCGTATTGGTTTGAATACCAGTTATGGAATATGAATGCAGCGATAATCAAACCTCGATCAAGGTCCATTGCATCTAGTCTAAGCAAAACTTCATGGTGAGGCATGATATCCGTTTTCTTTTCTACTTGACCATTAGGACCATCTGGATGCCAGGTTCGGAGCAATACATTGTCATCCTGAAATGTTATATCAGTTTCTGAATAAGAAGACACAACTCGGATACTCACCTCAGTCAAGCTGACTGGGACATCCTTCGCCACGAGATTTCCTACTGTAGAAGCTTTCTTCCGCATCTCAACCTCGAACTCGCGGGTCTCTCTCCGTTTCGCGTCAACCTTTGCATCTAGCTCTTTCTTAGTAGCAACAAGGTCATCTGCTGGTTGTTTGGCCTATAAGAGATCATAAATTCAGGCAAGTGAGTGAATAAGCGTCAAGAACAACCTTCTTCTTGGCTGCGATCTCCTTTTGCACCGCGTTGACCTGCTTGCTGAGGCCGTTCGCCTCAAAATCCACTTAAAATACAATCAGCACATGGATTCTATGTTCAAAGCCAGAGAGCTCTCAAGATCGCGCGTTTGAGAGGGCCGCTGATCATGAAAGGCAATCAAAACTCACTCTTCACCCACTCCGCGTACATATCTATGACCTGATCGACCAGCTCTACCGACTCTCCTCGCTTCCGCTGCGATTCACGAATTTCCTCGGCATTCCCTCCCTTGTTGTCTATGAAACTAGTCACGTCAAGCGTCATGGTAGTTATATTTCTCTTCTAGTTTTGATTAAACTTCTGGACCGTCGGTGGAGGAGACGAGGATCGAAGCGATCAAAAAGGGAGATAGCCAATGCTCGAGATCAATGGTATCAGCTAGTATGGGTCAACTGGTGTAGTGTTATGAATCAAGATGTTTTGCTATCCTTTTGATCTCTTCCTCCAATAGTCCTTCGAATCATTCGAGTCATCGTCGCGTTACGTAAGCGCGATACACTGCACCATCAAAACCAGCTAGTGCGATACGTCGAGTCACGATATGAGCTCTTGAGCCCTGAGCCCTGAGCCCTGAGCCCTGAACGAACCTGCGATGCTTCCTGTCATGCTTGCATGCACCTAATTGACGACCTTGAAATTTCGTTTTGGACTCGCGAACCAAAAATTCAGAACCAAAACCATATGACCAAACAATTGTCAATAGAAGATCCTTAACCGTTCGTGTCCGTTGAAGTGTTGTAAATTTGGTTTCTGGTGTACGTAGTAGTACATCAGCCACCCAACAGTATCACTGTATCGATAATAACCTTCGCTTGCCCCAGTCCATATCTTTTGCTCTATATATCTGTCATTTCACCTGACACGTGCTATATCAATGTTCAAGTTTATACGTCGTGTTTCAACTTCATTTCTGCCGCGCCCAGATCGGCCCTGGAGGGATGATGGTGAGTCGTGTTTCATATCCCAACATGGCGATCTGACGGTCTTTTGGAATTGGCGCGCTCTTGTATTATTGTTCTGATTGATTGATCTGATATGTAGCAACGTCAAATGCACCCACGATAGGTCGGAAGAGGTGCTTCAGCTTCGTTGAGGATGACGATGATGACTCTACTTCGACGAGTGTCAAGAAACTAAAGGGGAACTCCACACAGGCTGAATGCAGTACCCCTCCAATACCAGCAGACTCGGATAAGAAGGAGGGGGAGGATGTCAAGTCAGTGACACAGGGGGTGAAGGATGTGGAATTGGATGAGAAGAAGTTGGATTCACCCTGCGGCCCCGAGGAAATTCCGCTTCCTGATTCTCCTGGTAGAACCCAACAACTGGATACAACATTGACAGAAGAAGCAGCTACGACTCCGGAGGAGGAAGCCGATAAGAAAGACGCCCAAGATGATTCGGATGCGGATTCGGTAGCTTCTTCATCTCAAGTAATTTTGGATGAGGGGCAACCTGAGGATGATTCAAAGGATGATACCAAGGCACTTTCTACATCAGCAGCTGAGGATGCACCTGTCGCAGAAGACACTCCCACTACCGATGATACCCCAGCAGACACCGAGACCGGTGTATGACGTGGACTATACCCTCCCTTTTACAATCTATTTTATCGATGAACACGAGTACGTCTAAGTGCATAGATCTAGTTATTGATGAATGTGCGGATACAGAATGGATTGCACGCTGGTTGGTGCAGAAGAGGGTTCGACTAACGATTTACGATATATCTACCGACACTGTTTATACGTACTGCTACTAATTCCTCGCCCCCTTGTTGTTTGCCCATTATATCAATGTATTCAGGACACTTCGGATTGAGCGATGAAATGTACAGCCACCTCATTCAACTCTGATGGGTACTGCCATCTGTCATGATGCAGGGGATGATATCAGTGATGGTCGTTTCTCCTATCAAACTCATGCGTACCAGGGTCCAGTGGCCATGTGCTGAATATTTACTCGAGGTGAATGGTCATTCGTGTCAAGCGGCGGCCATGATGCACGAGGAGCCGGACCTACGCGGCATTACAATTGGTTACTCTTTCATTCACATCCCTCATGTAATACTATCCGCTTAGCAGGCAACTGGAACGCACATGTATTAATTCCGGCTTTCTATGTCATCAGGGAGGTGAGCTTTGTTGTCATCCTGCTACTTTCAATCTGACTCGTCCGGTGCACTGGTGACAGTGGCTGGAATGTAGAGAGCTCGACTAGATGTAAAAACTGCCAACTTACTGCCAACTTACTGCCAACTTACTGCAAACAACGGCCACGGTCCACAACGGTTTATGACTCTATTATCTGTTGATTAGCCGATATGGCAGGTACTCGCCTCATGTTATGCGTGAGGCGTACACGCCTTTCCTTGCGCTCGTCAGCCTCCTCATACGATAATCTGAACAGCCAGCCGCCTACTCTCTATGGCTAATCGATTTCATCCTACGAGCATCGATAGTGATATCGTGCTTCTTACGCCCCCCTGTTCTGTGACATCCTCACCTTTCACATCAAGCTTCTCCTGCATGCCCGCCCGTCCACGGTACTTATACCTGACACTGGTTTCATGTGTCCGAGGTTTCCTCCCATTTAAACATTACACGTACTTACCTCCATCAATCTTTCAGCACCCTTACCACTCTTCCACGCCATTGATCGCACGCCGAGAGTCCACAGGAAACCTTTTCTTCACCACACACTCAACCCAGTCTTCTATCTCTCATCTTCTCCACCATGTTTCGCTTCATAGGCTCGGAATCCAATAGCAAAGGTAAACAACGTCAGCAAGACGCTGACCCGGAACTTCAGGTGCATATACAAACTGAGGTCCACTCGAATCGTCCTCCCGTAGAAAGTCAGAGTTCCCAAGCCCTAGACAGTACATCCTCCCTTCAGACTACGCCTTCAAACCCTAAGCGCCCGCTGCCTCCTGGGCTCCGCGTGCCGACACACCCTTACCCATACTGGCAAAATCATACGCCGGCATCATCCTCCCAGAGTAGCCTCGAATCACCTAAAACCCCGTCACAGGTTTCCTGGCTTGGAGGGGCTGGAGGAACTTCGGTTGCTCGTGCTGCATCATCATCGCCGGATCTTCAACCTCATCACTTCCCACCACCACCACCCACTGCACCACCAGCAAATGCCACACGCACGCGGTCCTTACAACCCTCCAAGAGCTCACATTCATTGCGAGTACCGATACAGGAGTGTTTTGGGCAACCACTTTCTCCAATTGTTGAGCAAGACTATATGTCACCTGAGAAGCGCACCGTGTCATTACCAAGTAGCCCAGATGGCTCCGGTTCTCGAACGAGTGGTACTACAGCCACCATGATGACACCGATCAGTCCATCTATGATGACCCCAACCAGTGCGGTGGCTATGTACTCCGCACGCCCAACACCCACGCCCACCACTCCAGTTGCTCCTCCGCAGTTTGTGAGGCGACGAGAGGATTCGCTTGGTGACTCAGCACGTTAGTTCGCGAATTCTAGAGTTTGTTTCGTGACTGATCAATGTGAACAGGTTCTTCGCCAGTATATTCAAATTTTCTCTCCCGCCCGCTGAACAGGACCATAAGTATGTCGTCGACGAGGACACACCAGTCTGGCAACTCGTTATCTGCAACACCACCTGTCATTCCTCCTCTTGATCTACGCCCAGCGTTTCCTGGACCTCTCCCTTCAGACACAATTTTGTCCCGGGATATCGCTGAGGATGTTCCCGATGATACATCGACGAAACGCGAGAGCTTCGTCACAGCTCGATCGGCTGGTGCAGTGCGGGAGAGCAAGTACTCTGCTATGATTTTGGAACCGGATCATGAACCTCTAGATGATCAGGAACTCCCATCAAGCCGAACTGCGGAGTCTTCTAAGAATTCCCCCGAGTGCCAACAAGGAATCCCCCAGCTGCCTTCGCTACCTCCAGCAACACACACTCCCTTACTCCCCCGTGCTTCATCGCGAACCTCAACATATCCACCCTCATACTCGTTACCACAGCCCAATGTAGATCACCGGGCCAATCACGGTGGGCTCGATACTCCAAGCCAGCGTGATTCTGTTCGATCGATGTCATCTTCATTCATCGACCGTCGCTTTGCAGAGTCAGAGCTATATTTCGGCTCATACACAGAATGCTCTAGCGCACGCCAGGCCAACGAGAAATGGGCTAAGCATACTGAGAAATCCGACACCGCTCGGACACTGTTCTGGCTTGGATTTATCGCACCATGGTGTTGGCTCATCGGTGGATGGCTGGTGAAAGCCAAGAATAATAATAGCTATGGCCGGGGTGGCAGCATGACGCCCTTGTGGACGGGTAAGAGCACACGGACCGTTAATTCATTTACGATGCAGCCATTGCACCATGGCTATCCCTTTGTGGCGCCTTCGGTGCAGAGCTTAATGCCGCCATCATATTCGCGAGGGATACATTCAGCGCATCCTCGTGGCCCGTTTTTAATAGCGAGGAGCCCGTGGATTAGGAGGTGTAGGGTGGCTGCTGCTGTGAGTGGAATTATTATTATGCTGCTGTTCATTGTTGCCCTGGTGGTAGTTGGGAGGAGCAGTTGAGTCAACTTTTGAACAACTAATCATGAAGGATCCCTATCTGGATATCATATTCTCAAATTAAAATGAGCAAAGCGATATTTACCGTAGACTTAGTACTATATGATCATTTCTCCATTGCAGCTTCCATCACATTCCGAGGATCAGAATCACAGAGATCTGGTTCGAACCTGTAGTACTTCATGAATACCTAGCACTTTACGAATACTTACGCTTTACGAAATAAATGTACCTAGCAGCCCGAGCGTGTGGCAGCAAGTTGTGGAAAATGTTGAGCCTGACGACAATGCGGCATGCCTTTAACAAAGCCAAGCCCTTCTGCGGCTGTACTTGAACTTATGTAAGCATCACACCTGCAACAACCCAGCCCCAAATGCGCCTCCCGATGATCCAGAGTGACCCGACTCTCCACAACCACCATGCCCAAATCACCAGCAGAGATTCTTCTCGAGAAAGCTGATAAGAAATCAAATTCCTCAACTGGATGGTTTTCTTCTTCATCAACTAAATGGGAGGAAGCAGGGGACCTATACCAACAAGCTGCCAACTCTTTCCGGCTCGAGAAGCAATTTAAGGCGGCTGGCGACGCATTTTCAAGAGAAGCAGAGTGCAGAGAAAAGTGTAACGAAACCAACGATGCAGCAAATGCTTGGTGGAATGCTGCCAAGGCATACAAGAAAGATGACCCTCAATGCATGTTTCTCCGCACTCTCGATGGAACTGATACTGATCTGGCTCTGCAGTGGCGATTCAGGCTTTAGGTTGCACGATTATGCATCTCACTAAGTCGGGCAGGTTCCGCCAGGCAGCAGACAGAGAGAAGGAGATTGGCCAGATCTATCATCACGAATTGAATAATATCGCGAAGGCATGCGAGAGCTTCCAGCGAGCCGCCGAGTGGTATGACCAGGAGGAAGCT